TCAAAATATTTTGAAAAACAAATCATAGAATAAATCCTAAATAATATGAGAATAAAAATCAAATATTTTTGAGAAAAAAGATACCAGACTGAAGTCATAATTTTTCAAGAACAAAGTTCGAGCCTAATATTATGAAAACTTATCACTGCGATAAAATGAGGAACGTTGAGCTCCTGTGAAGTTCTACTTTGGTTTTGTCTTATTGAACTCCATGGATTTATATGATAAAGTCAAGTGATATGACAGCAGTTAATGGCTGCATTTATAGATTAAGTCGTCACATAATGTAGAAGGAAGCGTGTTACACTAAAAGTGACTAAAAGTATCAGAAACGACTTCATAATCACAGCGACACACTCAGAGGCTGACCACAGTCAACCCAGGAACAGAAAATGGACGTCATGTAGGATTACGACTTCATTCTCCTAATAAATGGAAAATCTTGTAATCTGGTCCTTATTCTACGTACAGATTGGTCAGTTTGTGCTCTTATTTTGATAGCATAAAGGACTGCACATCACCATCAAATGATATTTTATGAATCTGCTAGCAGACAAACAGCCATGACTCCAACACTTAAAGCTGAAGATTTGGTGCAATGAGCTTATTCTCCACTCCAGGCTTTTGTTTTGTGCAGAAGCACCAAATACTGCAGTCGCACTGATGTTGACGTGAGGAATGTTTTAGTTTTGTGCAACTGAAAGGTGAACTTTAAAAACATGAGTCATCAATTTTGTTTAACAGCCGACTAATGTGTTTTTAATTAAAACGTCCTTGTAGATGTGCTCAACCTGTTAAACAAAACCAACAAGAACTTGCAGAATCCTTAATCAAATGTTATAAAATAACAACTCCTTTAGGGCCACTGCAGATGAAACAGTCCAAAGACACTTTGTATGCTACGTGGAAGGCGCTTTGAATGCCAGTTTACTGCTGTTGAAACATACAAATTAGGTCGAGATTTAATTCAAAATCATTTCTTTAATAGAGTTAACATGTTCAGAAGCTGGACCGTGTCTCATCTAATCACTCAACAAGCTCGTCTCCTACATTAGCTCAGTGCTTAATCATAACATGACAGGAAATGACTCAGTGATGCTCCACATCTTAACACAAAACAGCTCCCTGAGGACGCCAAACAACAAGACATTCTGGTTAAATACATGGTAGTGTCACGCTTGTGGAAACCTAACGACTTGAGCTTTGTACCAGGAAGGGTCTATGCAGCTCCACATGGCCAGAGAAGATTCAAGGATTTCTTAAACATGCATGAATGAGTCAAAGCAACACTCTGGTGATGTGTTTGATGAAGGAGTGACATTATAACATGATAAAAGTCAATTTTGCATGATCCCCCCGCTTTAATAAGACGTTCTGACTCACCTGAAGGTAGTGACATGGTCTGGATGACGTTTTGAGGTCTGTGTGCATCATGGGTTTGTCTAAATTAAGCGATGACTTCCTGTAGGCCTCCTTGGCCTGGCTGACGGTCAGCGTCGACCACGAGCTCCTTTTCATGAACTTGCCCTCGGGTGCCATGGCCATGCTCTCACAGGCTGAACACTTGACGTCGTTGTTGCTCTTGGAGGCCTTCAGTGACATGTGGCTGTGCATGGAGTCTGGGTAACAGTGGGTGACGTGCTCCCCGTGGTGCCGTGACATCACGCTGGGCGTGCGATACGTGCTGTCGCTGTCCAGGTTGTCGTCCGAGCTCCACCAACCGCCAGAGCGGTGTTTCCGCTCTTTGCTCTTGCTCCGCTTGCTGCCGTGCTTGGTGGAGTGGTAGCCGTGGTGATAATAGCCCCCTGATCCCCCCACGATATCCCCCTTCGTGCCGTTCATCTTGGACGAGCCCTCCAAGGAGTGGGACTTGGTGAAGAGCTTCTGGACGGAATGAACGAGGTGTCGGATGCGGCCCGGGCTCTCGCTGCGCTGCTCGGTGGTCGTGGAGGTGCGCTGGTACTGAAGCGTGTGGAAGCCATCGCGGTGCAGCGGCAGCTGTTTCTCAAACTGGTCGAGCAGGTTCGCTGGGAGGCGGTTGCTCTTGGTGCCGGCGTGGTGGGAGGAGGCGGCGGCGGCGGCGGCGGCTGCGGCGACAGCCGGGGAGGTGGCGGAGGCGGTGATGGCAGCGCAGTCTTCCCGCGTGGCCGAGTCGTAGTACTGAGAGCTGTAGTGCATCCTGGGGAAGGTGCTGCTGGAGATGTGGTCGGACGCGGCAGGCGGGGGCATCATGACGGGCGACATCACCATGCAGTCGGAGTGGATGGAGCTGCGCGGCGAGTAGCGGTGGTGCAGGTCCACGGGGCAGCTCTCGGTGGGGCTGAGCAGGTATGAGGGGTGACGGGAGTCCGAGCCGTAGTGCAGGTGGACATCGTGGATGTGGGGGTCGTAGTCCAAACCATGAGGCAAAGGAATCTGGTGCTGGGAACGGCTGCCCGATAAGCCCTTCATGTTCCTGGCAGGGGGGAGGCGTCTGCCTTCATTTACCTTCCGAGGTGGGGACCAAGATGAAATCTGCTGGTCTGTTGTGGAAAAGAAAAGAAGATGAAAGTCAATAAGATTTAATGGGAACTGGGTAATCACTTTTAAAGGCACAGTGTGTAGGATTTGTTGTTTTCAGCGACATCTAGTGCTTGAGTGGTTGATTCATCCTCCCTGGTCCTCCACCCACCCCCACCCCCACCTTCCAAAACGGAGTTGCTACGGTGTCTCTCAGGTGTCAAAAACTTTGATAATTCCAACCGCGATGTCTACCAGCAGCTTCAGGGCTAGTGATGTTTCAAGTGGTAAGATTATGAGCTTTAATAAGTAAAATTATCCCAGCTACAATGACAGACAACAAATATTACATTTATAGTGTTACAACTAAAACTGTTTTTGACGCCGCCACCGCAGTTTGTCCTTCATGAGCCTTCGTAGACAAGATGGCGGTGCAAGATGTAGTGGGGACGCGACCATGGAAATATAAACAGCTTTTTATAAGATACAAATAATAAAACAAGGTCTTTGTCTGCTATGATTAGACATGTTTTTTATTATTGTCATTAGTGATTATCTGAGTTTCGGATAAAAGAATTAACAAAATCCTACACACTGTGCCTTTAAATATACTACTATTGCGGTTTTTACATACGATGACAGATTAATAAGATGTTCATACTTTTCACTCTTCAACTGGAAATAAAGAAATCTTTATCTCAATTAGGCCAATGATTATTAGTCATTATGTATTAATTGTTTTTCTTTACAATGCAGTTTTTATATTGGTACAAAACACATGAAAGTAAGGTCAGTGATTCAGTTTGAATAAACAGAACAATGTAGATTAAAATAAGCTCACTGATAATAAACTACTATATTATAAATTTATTCTGAATTCAATTTATTTACAAGGCAAATATTTGATTTCTAAAAAGATTTTTTTCCTGTTACAGCTGAAATAATACTTGGATCCGTTTCCACATTTTGTTGTCATATATTTTGCTTTATTAATAAATCAACTGAAAACTTCTTTATAATATAACTGTTCAGATTGAAACGTTTGAGTGAAAAAAACAAAACCAATAACAGAAAAAAAATAAAATTCATCATTTGTTCTTATGGTTTAATTAAATTGTACTCTTTAATGAAAAGATTCAGGATCAAACAGACAAACAGCTGATTAGAGATCAATAAACTACTTCCTGTTTGCTTCAACCTCCCAGTTCCCAGGACGGCTGTAGTGTAGTTAAAAACAAATCAAGACAATAAATAAAATTTGTTTTTTTCTTACATCCTATTTCTTATATTACAAGTTGAAATATGGAAAGAGGTTATGTTTTTTATTTTTTCATTTACTGTAGGATCTTTGATACATACATATATAATCCAGACTACGTTTTGCGTAAGAAACATGGTGTCTAACTGAACTCAACTTGAAGGAAATGAAATACTCAGTTTTTATTCTCACATTGTTGCAATACAAAGATGTTTGATATAAAAACAATAAAACTTAATTTTACACATGATTAATGCAGTACTTTTGGGGGAGTAAAAGACTTTTAATGCAAGTTTTCAAAGTAATATATAAGACCAGGATTCAGATGATTTTAGTTTTTAAAGAGGTTATTTATAAAAACAGTCTCAGTAATGGTTTATTCTTACGTTTTTTTTATTGGAGTTTATTTACATAGTTTGGTTCACAGTAAAGTTCACATAAAATATCAAAAAGTAGAAACTGTCTGAAACTGCCTGTTTGAATGTCTTTATTTACCTTTTTTGTCATTTCTACCTTGTGATTTCAGCTTTAAATAACCTTGAGATCTTTACTCTAAAGATTTGAAAGGGTTTATTTTATTTTATTTTTGGTGTAAATACAGAATCTTTATGCATTCTGCCCCAGGTTTCTAAACAATTTCCTATTAATCTCATAAGTAATTGACCTAATTCTGTAAGCACGCTGAACTATAATCCAGTTTAAGCTAAAAGTAACTGCACTCAAACCCTCCAGGAACATCTTGTTCAAACTTAACACTTAATTACTTTATAAGATTATTGCTATAATTTGAGCACTTGTCACAAACATTTAATTGATATCAAAGAGTCTTTAGAATAAGAACATTTTAGTGTCTCACGGGGTTAAAAGTCAAACCTCCTTAAAGCCTTTTTGTTCTGATAGAAGCCTTTATGATCAAACTGTTTCTGCTCCACTGAGCTTTGTTCTGGAACCTGCATGAAATTATGTCCATATTTTATTGTACAATAAAAAATTATACTCACAGTAAATCAAACCTTTAGTAAAAAATTATTTTGTTGTTCATAAACCTTTTTATTCCACTCAAAGTGTTTATTACATCTGCATTGTTTCTGATTGTGTTGTTTGCCTTCATAAACTTCTGTAAAATCCTCTAATTATAAGTATTTAATGAAAAAATGTGGCAGAAAAAGGTTAAACACAGAACAAACTAAATAACAACCTGAAAAAGATACTGAGAAGCATCATTTATTGGAGCCAATGAATTACTCCTACACTTATCTTGTTCTACTTTGTTGGATTTAAAGTTTTATATTGTACGTGTTAAATGTCTTAAATAATACAAATGTGAATGTAATTTACAACTGTTTTTTTTAGTTTTCAGAGGAGAAATGATGACAGTTTTTAACCCCAAGAGTCTGTTGCTTCCTTTGTTTGCTTTTAAAATAAAAAAAACTTTAAATTACTTATTAAATTCAAACAATCTGATGCTCAAAGTAAGAAGCTGCCTTTTATTAAAACCATGATGAGATAATCTGATTGCTTGTTTCTTCTTACTTGGATTAGTCCAAATGTTTCACCTCTTTTATCACACTGTAAACTGTTCTCACTGCCTGCAGGATCACATTAGTTTGTCTTTTGTCTCACATCTTGTTTTTAATATCCTCTTTTTGTTCCAGTGAACAGAACACACTGGAACAGAAACAAATCCTCCAAAAATGTATTTAAAGGACTTGTTTTATTAATAAAACCTGTGTTCACCTTCCTACGCTGAAATGACAGACTATATTTTACCTGCAAAAGCTAAAAAAAAAATTAATAAAAAATAAATTAAAAAAACATCTCAGAACAAGCCGGAGCACCTCGACTGGGAACCAGTTTCCCTGTAATTAATGAAGTTCTCTGCAGCAGGAAACCCCAGTCTTGGAACGGAGCACAGTGTCTTACATAATATTTGGGATCTCTAATCTTGTGCACCGTTTTCAAAAGGAGCCCAAAATAAAAAAAATGCACCGTTGCCATGACGACTACTGCTAAAACCCCAAGACTTGCAACAGGATTTTCAAGGCTGTGCGGGGTAGATCTGAGATTTAGAGAAAGAAAAGAGACGCATGGTGTGAAACACAGAGACGACTTTTTGTTCTTTCAAAAAGGGGGTGGGAAAATATATATATATATATATGGTTATGAATGCATGCCCGAAACATAGAGCACATTTCTAATGTCTGCATCATATAAAACAGTGATGGGCAACTGGTGGCCCACGGGCTTTATGTGGCCTGCATTGTCCTTCTGTCCGGCCCACCAATGAGATCCCACAACTCCCCATTTTATTTTATTTTACCTAAAAAAAAACACTCAAAGCAGCTCTTAGAATATAAGAGATGCTTTAAAAGTGCATTTCAAGAAAAAAATATATTTTTGTTTAATTATTGTTTTTATTCTGGGAGGTAATCTCTCTGTTCACTGAGTTTAGTCTGTTTAGAGACACTGTCTACCACGAAGGATTTTAATATATGTCACCACTACATGTTGCACAAAGCTAAATGTGAAACGTTTATTGAAGCAGATAAACAACTTTTTACCAGAACCAGAACCATGCAGGAGTCTGCACTCAAAGCAGCTGCACTTAAAGTTTTTTTATTTTTGTTTGCTTCAAACGTTTTGTATTCAAATTTATTAAACAAGAGTACAACAGCTATACATGCATTTGAACATGAAATATGTGAAGTTACTGTTGGTAAGTTATGTTGGTTTAATAAAGAAATATATACACAAACATGGCAGTTTTATTACATTTGCGTGCAGCACAATGTAAACCTCTGGTTGTGTCAAAAAAAAATGGCATCATTCCATCCTTTTAAGTCCCTAATTTAAAGCAACATGCTGCATTTATTTAGTATTTTGTTATTCTTATGGGTGTTTAGGGTCAAACTCACATATTTAACTTTTTTTTTTGCAAGCCGACATCAATGTTTATTCATTTCTAAGTCCTAAACATAATCATAATTTGAAATTACTGATCAGATATTATGTTTTTTCACACCAGATAAAACCAGAAACAGATGAAAGTAAAAATAATGACTAAAATAATAATAAAAAAAAATCACCCTAAAAACTTGCAGCAGCAGTGTTTAGATGCATGTTATTGTGTTAGCTACCATTTCATGCTATTCTGAATTAGAGAGATTATAATGATTTGAGGCAACATGAATGCAATAAAAAAGAAAATAAAACCAGAAGACACACAAACTGTCAGCCTGATCTGCATTTTCTCTTTTCCATCACTCCAGGATCCTGATTACATAAATCATCATGAACTGGTTTGATTAGTTCATAATCAGCTGTTTAGAGACTAATCTTTCAACCCAAATTAGGCTTTCAAGATATCAAGTAATTCCCATCAAGTAAAGCCTTTTCACTGTATTCATAAGGATAAAATAAATAAAAGTGGAATAAAAAGGCAGTAAAATGTATTTTTCTGTCAATCATAAGTAAACATTTATTCTCTGTTGTGTGTACCGATAACATTTAGCTAAAAATAAATCTGAACATTTTCTGTATTCTAATGCTTTTGTGGAAAACTGGCATTTTTTTGTATTTCTGACAAGAATTGCCTATTGCTGAGTGTTTTTTCCCTTCTCATTTTCAATTTTGATTATTTTATTTTATTTTTGTTGTTTTTTATCTGTTTGTTATTTTCTTCATACAATGTTTTGTTATATGAATTGTAAAGTGAGGTGTTCTGTTCTAAGGATGAAATGTAGCTACTGTGTTAACTCTTGCATA